ATACTATAGATATATAGGTATATATATAGATAGGTTGAGCAGTTGGGCTTAGGTATCGAATCAGATGGACTGTATTTTTTTTTTTTTTACAGAATTCTTTTCTTCTGTTAAGTCATTTCTTGTCAGTAGGAAACCTATATTTAACACTAATTAATTTTAATAAAGGATCCCTGTTTGACATAATGGACTGACAGTCTACGAGCAGGTTAAGAGGACTTATTGACTTCAGTATGAGTGAAAAGAAATAATTAACAGTAGAGTTGTATAAGATTTTCTGTCCATTTCTCTAATGGAAAAATAACAGCTCTATTTTTTCCATTTGTACGCGTTAGTTCTCCACGTGAGCTAATTAGTTGGTTTTTTCTTTGTTCTGTTTTGGTTGGTTTCTTTTGTTTAGAGGACTGGCATGAATGGTTTTACATACACACACTCCCCCACACACTAACACACACACAAACACACATCTTTTTGTGTGTGATTTTACTCTAATCTTTATCCTTCTAAATCTTCATTCATTCTGTGGGGGATTACAGTCACACAAAGATTCAAAACTTAAGAAAACGCAGTGTTTCATGATTATGATCAGTTATGGAGACATTGAAACCAGGATTCTGGAATTGGATTTTCACATTAGTAGTCTCTCAACAAAGTAAAATAAGATTAATGTCAGTGCTCTTAAGGAACATCGGGGTATGTAATGTTGTGATAGAGAATAATATCACAGTTGGGGAATTCAGATCAAGCCCAGAAAAGAAAAGTGAAAAGAGTTTGAGACTGTTTGTAGAAAAAAGGGCTCAACTCCTCATCAATATTTACAGTTCCTATAAAATTGAAGGGTTTAAGGCAGCGTTCTTAATTCTTTCTCTTCTTCTAGTTAGAATTCTGAAACCTGAGGTTAATGCTTCTGACATGGAGAACAAAGTACATGGAGTTCTAAACAAAGTCAAACTTTTGAATTATGAATTTAGGGCCAAAGTCAGAATTTACAAACTCTGAGAAAAGTTTTTCATTCCAAATTGAACAATCCCTGAGAGAAATAAATTTAAAAAAAGTTATTTATTGGATTTAAGTTGGGTTTCTGAGGCTCAAGTAAGAGTTTTGAAGAAAATTCCAAAAGAATAAATTTCAGTTTAAAGTTAGAATTCTGATACAGATACAGGGACATTTTTATATTTTTAAGGAATTTCAGTTACAAACAGATCAACTTTATTTTTTATTTTAATTGATTTTCAATTTCTGAGAAAATTCTTCAATTCTTTCTTCTTGGATTCATAGAATTTTGACTCATAATCTAATTTTGTCCTTGAAATCAGAACTTTGGGGGAAAAAACAGCTCTTGTAGCTGTGAGGGTGATGGTCTTCAGATTTCTTTGTAGTTTTATGACGCTTTGATCACAGAGGGATTAATGTTTGCTCTAATCCTGTTAATTCTAATCCTGTCAAGCTGAATCTCAGGATTGTACAGAGCAGCACTTTATCAGATCCGCTCCGACTGCTCTGCTCTACGTTCGTGCTGTCAGAGATGGTCCTGAGGTGACCCCTGAGTGAAACGCACACTTCTTCATGCATCTCCTCTTGTGTTGACACTTTTTATGGACCTGACAGGTGGAGAAGAGAATTTTTCAGAGTCCCAGGGAGAGAATTATCATCACTTCACACTTTTCACTCTCACCTCCTGTGGGAGCCTGTTTCATCTCTCTCACTCTTATTCCACTTTTAAAGCCACCAGTTCAAAAACAAACATCCTGTTTCTCAAACCAAATCCCATTAGAAAACAGAACACAGTAGTCGTTGATCATTTTTTTTCCTACATCAGTTTTAATTAATCTGTTTTTTTGTGTGTGTGTGTGAAACTAGTCTTTAAATTTCTTTGTTTACATTTGTCTCACTACCACATTATAACTACACATGGCTGTAGTAGACTGTTAGCACATTTGCGTGAGTTAGCTAAGTAGGATATTAGGTCAGTGTTTTTCATCCTTAGGGCTGCAACCACATTCGGGCTCACCTGGAATTTAAATGTGCCCCAAAGAAATGTCTAGTAAGTGAGTTACTAATTATTGTTAAAAACTTTTTTTTAACAGATTCCAACTGTTTAATAGTTGAAAACGTGACAGACCTTAACACAAAGGTATAACGATAGATCTAGGGGTGCTAGGTAATACTGAGCATTTGGGCTCAGGTATTGGACAGGTTATAGTTGTATAGTCTTTGTTTAGATGTTCGACCCTGAAATTTTGAACAATGTCAAACTGATATTGATTCTCAGTATCAGATCCAGAAATCTCTAGGTGAAACCTAACAAAGCTGTTGGAAAAATCTCTAGGTGAAACCTAACAAAGCTAACATATCTAAACATATCTAAATGTGTTTCCATAATTAAAATAGACCTGGGATCCTGGTTTTCCCGAGCCTCCACTGGCAGACAGGAGAAAGAAGAAACAAAGTCAAAGGTTTCTATTGTTGATTCCTTTTTCTGGCTTATGTGTCTCCCTTGAGGCTTGGACGAAGTCCAGCTTCATTTCTGTGATGTTAAAAGTGAGTGACAGCATCCTGCCTTGGCCAACACCCACCATTGCCACTTAATGGCAACCCACGACACACATACTGAGGTTTTCCAGGCTGAGTCAGCTCTAAAACGTCAGCCTTTGGCAGCACTGCCAGCGCAGGAAAACAGTGGATTTGACATCAGTGACTCTGGATGACACTGTTACTGTCAGACTGAACCTCCCACACTCTGTCACTGTCACCCTTTTTCACTGTGTGGTGACAGAGACACCAGCTGTTAGGGAATTCTGGAGGTGAAGTAGTTTCCATTACAGCACGGTTGTGGACGGAGAACGACGATGTTCCATGTAGATAATGAACATACAAACATTAGCCAAAGACATAAATACACGTTAGCTCATCAAAAAACTGAAGTTTATTAAATCTACTATTAAAAGTTCACAGTTAATGTAGCTACATGGCTAAACAATGTCCTCAGTTTGTGACGCCCTCGACGTAAGGCAATTCATGGGGAAGTCGTCACTTCCCATAAATTTATTAAGAGATTCTTGATCCGTCAGTCCGACGGCATTGAAACAAATTTCACAGAGAACTAGTTGGCAAGATGAGCCGATGGATATGTCAATGTGCAGTGCTAAATGCAGATTTTATTTTGTTTATTTTGTTAGGGGGAAAAGTGTGTCTCATACTTCGTCATTGTTGGCAGTGTTGATTTGCCCTTGGCCTTGAAGTCTCAGTATTTCAGTCGCTGTGTGCAGGGCTTTAAATTCAGACTTCTTATACATATTAGTTAGGTTGTGTGTGTGTTTGTTTCTTGGCGTTGAAGAGTTTCCAGATATGTGTAGAATCCATTGAAATTCATCCACAGAAAGAGTTGAATCATTTCCTACTGTTTACATGTATTTTCCTCAGTCACTCGACAGCCTCAGTGCTGTGATGCGTTTGCTCCCAAACAACGAGGTTCTCGCTCCACCCTGCAGGGTCGGTCTGATTTTTCACATTAAATGTCTATCACAAATAGGTTCACACATCATCTGTCTGCATTTCTCTTTATTGCTTAGACTGATGGTGATGAAACAGCCAATCCAGTCCAACCCTCGGGGAAGCGTTTCAACCGTAGTTCACCTCCTTTGATTTAATCCTGTTATTCACTGCAGGTTAGCAGAGCTGTGTTTTCATAATCAGATCTCAGGATGAAATTTGACTTCTGAAGAAACAGACAGTGACTATATCAGGTTTTACCAATACAACCAAGCGACGCCACGTCATTTTATCAAATACAGTTTTCAGTCTCGCTGTTGGCAGTGCTATTGATGAGCTGCTACTGGAGAAGTTCAATGAAAACCGGAGAAGGTCTTGAGTAGAGTCAGAGAGTGGACGCTGCCTTCACTGATGAAGACAGGGAGCTTAGTTCAACGTCAGTTTAACATTAAGAAGTCAACTAAAACATGCAAATAATAATAAACTCACAAAGCACAGCCTAACTTTCCTCAAAAGCATCTTCTTGGAAAACTGGGTTTGAAGACCTTTGCAAATGAGCTATTTGTATGTATTAAGGTTTACTTTATTCCAGTGGTTCTCAGTTATTATCTGTCATTTCATATTCCACTGGAAGCCCCTCACCGCGCCCCCTATCCCCCACCCACACACTGCTTTAATTGAACACTGTCCCTTTAAGACTGGAGTGAGTTAGCCCCTGATGCTACTGTGGTTGTCGTTATTCAGTTACAGCTTGATGTTGTAAAGTGTGCATTGTGAAGTAAGGAGCTTTACAGAGTTTCACAGACAAACTCTTCTCGTTCTTCCTTGATGTAAACCATGATTTACATTCAATGTAAAAAGATATAACACTAATGCAATGACACATAAATGAGTTCAGTCAAAGGTTTTGCTCAGAGGGTGGAAAACTTGGAAAATACTAAAAATGAATGGACAAATGTTTAGGGGCTCACATGTCGCAGCAAGGCAGGCATTGAATAATGGATGTATATGTATTGTATATATCAGTGGTATTCTGTCAAGGCCATGACAGTATCAGAATCAGTGACTTATTTTTCAATGTATTTATCATGAATATTCATGGCATAATACACTATTAGTATTAGTTCTGTTGTCATCTTGTATTCATCTTCTCAGCTTTTCTCCTGCTTCCAGTTACATATACCCACATATTTCTGCTTCATGTGTTGTCAAGGTAAAATTAATCTGCCCTAAAGTCTTCAGAATCAGTATTTCAAGCGCTGGGAGCTTAAAATGAAAGGCGATGAGATTGTTTCTTTAACCAATCAGATTTTGAGTTGGCAACACAAAGGCTTCTAGCAGGCCTACAAATATGTTGGCCATTTGAGTAAAACATATTTTGATAATAGAGAAATTCCACAATGTCTGTTCTTTTGTAATTCATTGCTTTGTGGAACCAAATGTTCACTGGTCATATTTAACTGACAGGGTCTTAGATTATAATGGCTCTCTTGATTAGGGATTTAATTGGCCCAAGTGGATTGAAAAGGTCGACCAATTAGATCCACTCTGAGTGGAGATGAGCACTTTGTCTGCTGCAGGTACCTAATTACCTTCAACAGGATGTAGGTCATTTCCATTCAGAGCTTGTCTTGTACTCATGTACTCTGCATTTTAGTAAATCTAGTTTAAATCCCAGATCGGAACAAAAAAAAACAAAATAACTGAGAAAACAATAATTAAATGACATAAAAGCATCATCTGTAATTATTAGCCGTGTACAGTGAAAGGTGACATTTGCAAAAGTGCAGTGGGTTAATGTGGGACTTTACTAGGGAGAAAAACAACAAACTCAGTGTTGTCACACAAAACAATAATCTGTTATCCTGTCCAAAATGTTTTCGCTACTTAAGATCTAACAGTAGAAGAATCTCTGTTTTTTGATCTGTATAAACCATAGCTGCAGTATAATTAGCTGTTGCTATTTTTTTTTGAAATGTCTCTGAATCACAACTGCAGATTTACAGATCAACAAACCGATTCTTCAGCTGTTTTCTTGATTAATGTGAGTGAATTCTAAAAATGCACAAAAAAAACACAGTTAGATGGAACGATTAATTTTGAGTCAAGGCTAGAGTCAAAAACTGTTATTTTTTTCCAGCTTTGTTTTGATAGCCGGTGTGATTTGTGTTTTTCAGAGAATTATAATTTTCAGAGAAACCAGCTGGTGTTCGAGTTGAGTGTGACCTTGATGGAAGCTGCAGTGACACAGTAAGAAAAATACTGTAGTGCACAGCATGGCGGGCTGCTGTGAAGCACACCCAGCATGTGTGGAGAATGAAGAAAATGAATGAACATTTTCTAGTCAGTCTCCTCAAAGGGGGATTTGTGTTTTCAAAGAGGAGCATTGGTGTTAGAACACCATCATCCAGTCAAAGAAGGCCCAGTTTGAAGAGGCTAACAACAGGTAAACAACTTTTGTTTTTTCAGACGTATCATTACCGTAGTTAGTTTAACAGCTGGGATTTGAACAAGTAACGTGATCAATGTTGATCTGAATAGACACACATTATACAGAACTGTTACATAAGCTTTACGTTTGACAGTTGGGTGCACAGCAACTGATTTGACTGTAATAAGTAATACATTTTTTCACTTCTGGTGTTGACAGTGATTGGACAATCAGGGCTGATCATGTTTTTGTTTATGTCAGGTATGGTTTTGGCGCCATATCATTAGCACAGACACAGTGATCAGACAAGGATTTGGATTATGAAGAATTTATCTTTCTTAAACCCCAGATCATTTAATAAATATTTGACAACTATTGAGTCAGCCAGGTCTGAAAGGTCAGAGAAGTCCTGCAGTGCCAGAGGAATCAGAGGAAACATTTGTTTCACACTGAAAAATAGACTGCAGTGAATTTCACCTTATCACGATAAACCTCAGAAAATACAGGAGGACTTGTAAAATCAGATAAATTCCTTCATAATTGGTAAGAAATCTGATAGAAGCAAACAAACACAGGGTTGATAAACTTCACTGTTACAGTTAATGTTTAATCATCTGTTCAACTATCCTGCGGCTTACTTTGTTATTGGGTCTTTTTTCTGATTTGCAATTTTATGCTACTTTTAGTCAAACCAGTTTAGGCATTCTTCTCTAAGACTGCTTGATGTCTCAACTTCTAACCTTGGTCTTTTGTCTTTTTAGAATATAAAAAAATGCATAGCCAACTCGGGTGTACACGTGGATAGTAATTTCAGTTTAAATGAGCAGATCATTTGCGGATGGGAAAATTAAGCTCCATCTTATCCAGACAAGACTTTGATGTTAATATATTGAAATCAAAGATCATTTGAATTATTAGAACTCCCTTTATGTTGGTGGTTGTCAAACATCCCTGCCCCGTCTTCAAAAAGTTCAGTAATTGCCCTTTTAACTTTCGTCTGCAGGAGTGAGTGCCTCTACACTGGCTTCCAGAGCTGCAGAATCCACTTTAAAGTTTTATCGTGGGTTTAGAAAGAGCCAAAAGGTCTTAAAGGTAGAAACCTTCCTCTCTGATCTGCTCCAGGTCTCTAAGATCTACCGGTCAGTAGTTCTTGGCTGTCCCTAAGTCGAGACCGAAGCACAGAGAGCATCAGGCCTTTGATTTTGTAGTGACTATTTTTATTTTCTTGTATGTTTTATTATCCTCAAGTCGGAGGACAAAAGGTTCCCAGAAGAAAAACAACACAAACGAAAGAAAACAAATGTAGAACAATCCAATGTATGTGGTAAACTGAATATCCATAACTTTATTTATCAATTGTATTTTCACTCCAAACAGTTACCATTTCTAGTTTAAACCTTTGAACCCTCCACACTGAAGTTAAAAAAAAAAGTAATAATGTTCTATGAAAATACTTTGTAAGTGGAACGAAGAGGCCGGTGTGACAGAGTCTGATGCTGCAGTCACTCACACTGTGTCTCTGTGGAAACACACTGCATTGTTTTATCCTCAGCTAAAAAGCAGAAAGAAAACAATGAAGTCCCCGTGCCTCTGTTGTCCCCACACTGCACTCTAGTTCTGGGGAGAAAAGTGTGAATGTTGGTTTGTTGAGTGTTGGTAAATACATAAGTAAATAAATGTTGGCTTAGTTCAGCCTCACAGAAATAAAATCCTCAGTTTAACAGCACCTTATGACAAAATAAAAATGAGTGTGACACTAATTATCACCGTGCTGGTATTGAAACACAGAAAAGGAAGAACAACAGTGACTGGACTTTATCTTACTACACTGTACAGGTACACTCTCCATTATAACTGCTGACTGCTTTTTTGGGTGTTTTTTTTCTTTTTTTTTTTTTTTTGGCTAAATTTCATTCATTTCTTTTTTTATGGCAGTTAAACCTAATTATGATTTTCTCTAGTTTAATTAAACTGTTTTTTTACAAAACAATGTTTCATCATCTGCTTGAAGCTACTGTATGTCAATTGTAATGTCAATTTTCAAAAATCCCTGGGCTAGGTTTTAGATGTTTTACTATTAGTTAGCCTTCACACATTTGTTAGCTACTTCTGGGTGGACATTAAGCATTCTCCTGGTCATGTTTTAACTTCTGGGTGGACATTAAGCATTCTCCATTCTCCATTCTCCGTTTTTAGCAATTTCAAGGTCAACTTTTATGTACACCTGAATTTATATTTAGTTAATGGTTTTTTTTTTTTTTTTTTTTTTTTACCAGACTAGCGTTTCAGTGTTTTAGCCTAGCATTTTCTGCTAAAGCGTTTAGGTTTCCTCTGTGATCCATGCTTATTTTTCCACTGGGAAAAACAATTTGGTTTAAGAGTGGACTTCTTAATGGAAGTTTGTGATCATTCCAGGACAGAGCCGTATCTCCAGCTCTGATCAGTGACTTCACACCTCAGACCAGACATGTCACTCCAGTCTGGGGGCAGAACGGTCTTACCAATTACCCAGACTCCACTGCTCTGTGCCTGTAAGCAGCAGCACTCAGCCTTATGACAGTGTGATGGGCACATTATCACCAGCCTCTATTTCTACTTCCTTTTTTAAAGCTCATGGTCCCTGTGATAAGGTTTCGATTTCTCAGTTTTTTCAAAAAAAACGACACGACTGGAATAATTCAGATAGTTCAACTAATATTGAAGTAAGAACTGACAAAATATATTAAAGTTAAAAGTGGTAAAAAACCTTTGCATGCTAGCTTGCTAAAAGTTGCCCCGTATGTCAAACATAAGATGCAATTCACCACTTGTCCACAAGTAGTCTTACAGTTTTCAGTTGTTTCTGTAAAATATTTTGTCATCTGGGAGAAAAGCTGGGGCTTTTTTTTTTCCAAAAGTCCTTTGACTGGGATTTTATGGGAAGCTAGTTCCTATTAAACTAATTTGATTCATTGCGTGTTAGATCTAGAGAGGAATCAGATTTGTTAAATGTTATCTGTCTTTTGTTTCATTTTGAAATTAAATGAAAACTGTCGATGTGTCACTGGCTGTGCCACTTATTAATCAAATGAAAAGCTCAGTTTGATTTGAAGGAAATGCATTTGCCCTTTTCGGGGATTGAGTGAAGTGTAGAATGATAAGTTGTGGAGAAAACACAACTGTCAATAGTTTCCCTGCAGCTTCTCTGTCTGTTTCTTCCACCGTTATGAACCACGTTCAGAACATGTTTGAGCAACAGGGTTTTGGCTTGTAGCTGTACAGCTTTGTTTTCTTTTTTTGTCACAGCCATTCTTTGTAGTAATGTTTCTGTCTGTAGTCATGTTTGGTCGCCTTGGTAGCTGACTCTGTTCTTCCTCTAGTTGCTCCAGTCCCTGCTTTCCTGTAGTGATGGTCAGTTTGAAGCAGAATCCTCGAAACACACTGTGTTAAATTTTGATTAGTTTGACCAAATGTCATGTGTGCCTCATTTGTAGACTTGATTGCCTCAGTCTGGACTCTAAAGCACTGATTTTTAACATTTTGGTAAACAGTTTTTATCAGTTTTTGCTAGAATCTGTGTTTTGTTTGAGTATTATTTATATGTAATTATTCAGATATACTATTGAACACTTGAAATACTTCTCCATGCAGTACTTTCAAAAGACATAAAGGTAGTTTGTGCTACAGAAGACTTGCTGCTCATTTGTCTCACAAGGACATCCTTTCCATACCTGTGACACATATCAATTTTCTTTTCCCCACAGAAATGGTCTGAGGAGACACGGACAATATTACTCTGGAGGAAAACCAGCTGCAGCAGGTGGGTTACACTACACTGACCTCAGGGATGCAGTCCATATTTCTGCTCTTAGAGGGATTTTTCCCCTGTGAGTGCTGTATGCAGCAGCAGTAGTTGTGTGTGTTGTACACAGTCTGAGACGGTGGGGCAGAATAAAAGTTATTGTTGCCTCTGAGCTTCACTGCCTCAGTGCTGCTGTTTAATGAAGCGTCAGTTTTATTACCCGTGCATGTGTTTACATCTCCCGTGTTTCTGTTGCCATCAAAACCAGGGATTAACAGGTTATTTATGGACGAGATAACAGGGCACGGCCCTCTTTATCATGTGGGCTCTCCAGTCTAACTAGTCCACTGATCATAATCATCACCTGCAGAGTGTGTGGTTCTGTGGATTAATGCCTACAATATAGATGGAAACACTCTGTGTGTCTTTGTGTGTGTGTGTGCTTAAAGAAACGTCGTCAAAATCACTCAGCCAAAAGCAGCCAGGACCAAGTGTGATAATTCAGATAAATATGAAGATAAGTGCCTTACATTAACACATTTACTTTTTTGTTATCATTGTATTTTATGACCATACCATACAAACAGAGACATTTCACTATTAAACAGTTCAATAAAAATCAACCATCAGAGAAATCTCTATATTAAAATAAAAGGCAATGAAAAAATAATTGAGAAAAAAATTAGGGTTGGTTGATAATATCTGCCAACCGATGTGATCAGCCCAATAATAGTGTAGTTATACAATAGATGTAGGAATGGCTATTGCTTTTTCCTCTGATAATGAAAACACAATAATGCGATGTTTCGGTTTTGCCAAATATTCTAGAATTGCTTGTGAGTTCCTGCGATGTTTACTGCAGTTTCGGGGGAAAACAGCTGCATATATCGATATTGGCTGATATCAGAATCGGGAAATTCTTTGGACTTTATCGGATATTGGCCAAAAGTTAATATCGGAGAACCCTAATTAACATCTGCATATATGAGGGGCTACATTAAATATTAAGAGTTCAATTATTAGTTGCATAATTAAAGATCAAACTCTTATCCAAATTATAAATGTTGTCTAAACAAATAGAAAAATAAACAATTATAAAAATATTAGTTTTAGAATACATTTGACAATAAGAACTGAACAACAGTGCCAACACCTGAGGCCTGTACTGTGAAGGACTCTCAACATATCCAGGCTTTGTGTTCATGGTCTGGCTTAACAAAACCTAAAGTCCCGGAATCAAAGTTAAATAGTTACATGATGGCGGTTATCAACTGGCTTTGTCTGGTTCTCGGCTTCGTTCTCTCTGCACCTTTACATTAAGTGGGGCGTTTGATGTCATTATTGTTATTGATATTCCACCAAAATGGAGTGATCCTGGGTAACATTGTTCAAAGTTAGGAGGCTTTGAAGACACTGGTTTTAACAAGAAAAATGAAAAGTAGGGTGTAACTTCAGTGAGGGGGCAGAGGTCAGCCTTATGATCCTCTCAACCACGTACGATCTGATGTACCGCTGTGGCCAGTTTATGATTCTCCGCCTGCAGGGGGCTATCCCTCGCTGACAGCCACAGCCTTTGTCATGGTTGGTGGGATGGAGCAGGAACCCAATTTGAAAAATAAAGAAACCTTTTCAAGTGAAGCCTAGATGTTGTATTGTTGACTTTGTTGTAGAGTCTTAATCGCTGATCAATATTTGGTCAATAATAAAAACCAATTACTTCAGTGCTACGACAGGCAGAGCAAATTGTGTTTGTCGTGGAGAACCAGTGGAGACAATTCTGTCAATTATTCATACGAAACCCGGAGGAGAGTATGGATTATTGTTTTTACGAATTACTTGCATAACAACATAAACCCTGTTTACAACCTGATTGTTTTATACAAATTGACATCAGTAACTCTCTTCAAACACAGTCGACAAGAACAAGAAGTTTGGGTCGGAGAAAAGTGAGTCTAGTGTATTCAGGAAAATGACCTTAAGATTAGGAATGATCATAATTAGAATTATTTTTGTGAATATTGAAATCAGGATTATTCAACACAAGTTTTCAAAGAAATCAAATGTGATATTTTAGCTTTCCAACTAACAACGAACTTAAGTATTCTATTTAAATGTTGTAAAAAAAAAGGTAAACACAGTAAATAAAACCAGTAAGATAGAGTCTGTTACCTTCTGCTGCTCCTCCCTGTCTGCTACTCTATATCTGTTAGCTTTATTTGTTAGCTTCTAAATGGCACAAGTGTGTTCATCCCGATCATTCACAGATCATTGAGGAAAGGTTTATTTAAATTCTAATCATCTTGCTTAATACATAAGCTGGACTGTGTGGAACGTGTAGTGACAATAGGTTTGATAAAAAGCCAAAAAAAAAAAAAAGATGATTGATCAACTGCCCACAGAGAAAACGTTTGTTGAAACACTAATGTCAGATGCTGTTTGTGTTGTTTACATGTTACATGTTCATCCTCAACTCAGCAGCTGATGAGTCTAAAGGTCTCCTTTCACTGGGTCAATTAAAATCTCTCCTCATAGCCACTGCTGATCATCAGGTGCTGCTGCTGCTGCTGCTTCCTCCCACTCACTTAATCAGCACTTAGTCAAATTAATACATGAATCACTCTTGTCATCTACATATTGTTTGATTTTTTTTATTATCTTATTATTAGCAGCTGTGTGGTCATGTATTTAATGTCAGCAGTGAGAATTTGTATCAGCTTTAAATTTGTAGTTTCACTTTATTCAGTTCTTTCATGGTAAAAACCCCCACTTCTTTTCGATATACTCAGCAAATAACATTTTGTCTGACGGGCAGAGAGATTGGATTCCGTGTTTTCTTCTTCTCTTCTTGGTTAGAACAGCAACTGCAGAGACACAGTGATGAATCAGAATCAGGGCACTTGAGTAGCTTTTAGTGAAACGGCTCAGTGACGTGAATCTAGATACACATACACTGTCTGTGGAACATAAATGAACTTCCCCAATGGGGTTTGTTCAGATGGGCTGGAAAAAATAATTATCTCAGCCTCATTACTAAATATGTTAATTGGTCTCTTTACACAGTGTTGATTAGAGATGTATGTGATTCATCCTTTAGGTTGTATATACAGTATATCTGACAAGATTACTGCAAAAAGCTGCTTATGCGAACAGTGTTAAACTTCAGATAGACTCATCATTCATCAATTCCAAGTGTTTGTTTAATTGAACAGTTCACCATAGAGACTCAGCTGCAGGCCGTATTTCCACGACTTCATCATCATTTATCAGAGAGGGCTCAGTGGGTACTTCATCATGTTTCAGCAGCAATTTCTTCATCAATTTAATGAATACATTATAGAAAACTACTTCTAAATCTCCCCTGAAGTGCCAAAGTTCACATGACTTCACTCATGAATATGGAATGACGTTAGCCTGACAAAATAGAAATAAGCTAGCCGAAAAAAATTCTACTAAACCTAAATTCCAAATAAGTCAGTGTTGCTAAGTGATACCCAAAAATGTGCCAGAAGATCAGTAAGAGTTAACCTCAAAATAGGCAGAGGTTGTAAAACATTGTAAAACTTAACTAGCACAAAAATAACAGCCAAAAGTCAGACAGATAAATAAAAAAGGAGAAATATACATATATCCTTGCATTGATAACAGTGTGTTTTTGATGGTGTATTAGAGCCATGATAAATGCTGACTTGGTTAGTTGGATAGTTGGTTGCACAGTTTCGGCCGTTATGACCTGGTGTTAAAGTTTGAATCTGATCAATCTTTACAAGTCAATGAACGCGTGTAAGTTTTGGAACTGATTTTAGTTAATCGTGTGGCTGTGAGGTATTTGACCTCACTGAAACATTCCAGTTTAACTGAAACCTGGTCCAGTGGCACACAATGTCACTTTCCTTTTCCTGCCATTATCTTGAATTATTAGTCCACTCCACTGATTAGTGCTGGATTATTTATTGCTGCTCGTTAGAATCTAATCTCCGTCTGTTGTCCTGAGCTGTGTATGTACTGTTAACTGTCTGGTAATGTCTGTTGTTGTCGGTGAAATACAGTTAAGTCATCTTTAGTGTAGGGTGTGTTGTCTTTTTTATCAACGGCCTTTTTCTTCCTGTTGTTGCTGCTGCACTTAAACAGCAGTAACAACACAATGTTTATATCAGTGATAACACTATTAAAGTATTACTACATGGTTGATCTGCCGAATGACGTTGTTTGGTGGCTCTGTCTGCCATGATGGCATGTAAACTAAGCTAGGTCTTAGAGTGGCTGTGGATCAAGAGTGGTCAGATTCAATTACACGGTTTCACACAGTACTTTTTGATTTCAACTGTAGAGTTGGAGTACTTTAAAATCAATGGGGTAGGTTGTGGCCTTGAACAGTGGTTTTCAAAGTAGGGGCCACCAGGGGGCGTTAGGGGAGCATCAGAAAATTGGAAGAAGATAAGTAGTTAATAGTTAAATAAGTGAAGAAGATAAGTAGTTAATAGTTAAATGACTATTTGTCCTGAACTGTACAACATGTAAAGTGACATGTTACTGATACTCCAGTTTCCGATGGTACATGAACACACCTCAATTGACGACTGCAGCTTTGTCAGTATGGCATAATCTTTGTAGACTGGCTGTTTGCATTACTCAGCTAATACACAAAGCTACTACTCAGTTGGAATATACAGTGCCGAAAACATGTTAGTTAATATTTTTTTTTATTCCAAACAAATGTCATAGTTATTGAATAGTTAATAAAAGACAGAAAATATGGTACATTATGAAAGTGTCTTTGCATATTTTGTAGCATTGTCTGAGGGTTTGCAAAGGGCCCCGGCCAGAAGCTGTTTTAGAAAAGTTTGGGAACCAGAGGCGTAGAAGGTTCTTGTAGGCAACATGCTAATGGATTAACAGTGGAACAGTGGATTCCAGTATTCGTCTGGTACCTTGCAGCCTTTACTGTTAATTAAAGATCAAAATTAACAGACGTTCAGCCCTAAAATACAACTGACAGTATGTCATGTTTTGCCACAAAG